CTTAGGCAATTCACTTAACCCCACCCCCCAGTCTATCATTCCTAATTTGCAAAATAAAAGTCAATTCCTGCCTTGGGAGGAATAATCCTCATAATAATATGAGGATTAATGAATACTTGTAAAGTGTTAAATTCAGTGTTTGCATCTAATAATAAAATTTGGTTGCTGTTACAGTCAGTTACTATTGGGGATTAACTGGAGGGGAGTGTATGTTGTCTAGGCATTGATGGCTCATGCATGTAATCCTAGGTTGATATCTGAAGCTAGCCTGCAAAGGCCGAAAAGTCTGTGAGATTTTTTTTTAAGTTTTTAATTGTTATTATAAAGGTGATGTATAGAGGGGTTGCAGTTACATAAATCAGATAAAGAGTACATTTCTTTTCTTTTGCCAGTCCTGGAGCTTGCATTCTAGGCCTCGGTGTTGTCCCTGAGACTCTGTGCTCAAGGCTAGTGCTCTACCACTTGAGCCATGGACTTTCCTGTCTGGGCTGGCTCCAAAGCATGATCCTCAGATCTCAGCCTTCTGAGTGGCTAGGATTACAGGCGTGAGCCACCAGTGTCCAGCTGTAGTACATTTCTTTTTGGACACCATTCCCCACTTCCCTAGTTCTCTCATCCCCACCTACAAGTTGTATAGTTTGTTTTCAACATGGTGTCTAATGAGTACCACTGCTGCATTTCTGTGCCCCCTTCCCCTCCCAAAAACAGATACCTGAACAAACAAACAGAAACTGCAACAAAGAAAAAAAAACCTAGGAGCTGGGATTGTGGTTTAGTGGTAAAGTGCTTGCCTAGCACGTGGGTTGATTACTCAGTACCACATAAACAGAAAAAGCTGGAAGTAGCGCTGTAGCTCAATTGGTACAGTGTCCAGGCTCTGAGTTCAAGCCCCAGGACTGATAAAAAAAGAAAACAAAAGTCTTGTTTCCATTTCCTGGAGTTCATTTCAATAAATATTATTTTATACAAGCAGATGAACATTATGAGACTTTTATCTCCAATTAACCACCAAAAAGTAGGAGTGGAGCTGCCTTCAGTTGTAGAGTAACAGGCAACCTTGAGAGAAAAAGCCACGCAATAGTACAAGGCTCTGAGTTCAAGCCCAAGTACTAGCACATTAGCGCGCGTGCACGCGCACACACACACACATACCATACTACACATGCCTATGTTGGAAAAAGCATCTGACTAATGGAAACAACAGGTGTGCTAGTTCCTCACTGTAAAATCTATTCCTGTTTTATAATTTTTTTGTACTAGGGTTTGAACTTGGGGTCTTAAACTTGCAAGGCAAGCCCTCTACCACCTGAGCCATACTCTTATCCTTAGAATTTGGTGTTTTTGTGCTACTGAGGATTGAACTCAGGGCCTCTCTCTTGAGCCATGCTCCCAACCCTTGTGCCCTTGTGTTTCTTCTGTGTATGTGGTGTGTGTGTGGGGGGGGGGGGTTGAGGAGTCAATTCCAAGCCTCACACATGTGAGACGAGTGCCCTGCTACTGAACTGTCCATCCCTACTCCTACTTGTAGAATTCATAAATTTGAATGTTTTCTCCCTAAAACATTAGTTAATAAATGATTTTACAGATACTTATATTTTAACCTGAAGAGGACAGATTGTCCCTAGCGCATGCTGCAGAGACAACTCCCTTTTCCTCTTTTTTTTCTTTTCTTTCTCTCTTTTTGTACAGGTCCTGGGGCTTGGGTAGTATCTTTTAGCTTTTTGTTCAAGGCAGGTGCTCTACTATTTGAGCCACACCTCCATTTCTGGATTTTTGCTGGCTAGGATGGCTTTGAACCAAGATTCTCAGATCTCAGCCTCCTGAGTAGCTAGGATTACAGGCATGAGCCACTGGCACACAGCTGTCTTCTTTCTTTTTCCTTTCCCCCCCTTTTTCTTTTTTGGTCAGTTGTGGGGCCTGAACTCTGGGCCTGGGCGCTGTCCCTCAGCTCTTCAGCTCAAGGCTAGCACTCACCACTTGAGTCACCTTCCTTTCCTTTTTCTTTCTTTTGGTGAAACTAGGGTTTAAACTCAGGACCTTCTCTTGGCTAGGTTCTCTATCACTTGATCTACATTTCCAACCCAAAAGACTTTACCTTAGGGGGCTAGAAAGGTGGCTTAGTGGTAGAGTGTTTGCCTTGCAAACATGAGGCCCTGGGTTCTATATCTTAGCACCATATTAGCAGAAAAAGCTGGAAGTGGCACTGTGGCTCAAGTGGTAAAGTGCTAGCCTTGAGCTGAAGAGCTGAGGGACAGCACCCAGGCCCAGAGTTCAGGCCCCACGACCAACAACAACAACAAAAAAATTACCTTAGGGAATCAGTTTGATGAAGAGTGAAGACAGGAGACAGATGGTGTTCTGATTTGACTTTTAGTATTTGGTCAAGACCCCAGGCAACAAAACTTTCATCTAGGGGGCTGGGAATGTCACTTAGTGGTAGAGTGCTTGCCTCACCTGCATGAAGCCCTAAATTCTATTCCTCAATACCACATAAACAGAAAAAGCTGGAAAAGTGGCGCTGTGGCTCAAATAGTAGAGTGCTAGCCTTGAGCCAAAGAAGCTCAGGGACAGTGCTCAGGCCTTGAGTTCAAGCCCCAGGACTGGCCAAAGAAGGAAAAAAAAATAGACTTTCAACTAGGGTTGTGGATAGGATATACACACTTCCTTCTACAGACACAAAAGGTGTTCTGGCAGAACCCAGAGCCACTTGCTGAAAGCATACCTAGATAATTTGATTACTGCTTTATTCCTATTTCAGGTAGTTTCCCCGTGGTAAAATTTCCCCATTCTTTCAGCTCCCCTCCTCCCAGATTGAGAAATCTTGGCTTGCCTTTTTTTTTTTTCTTTAACTTTTCCGTCAGGCAGGTGTCCTAGGTTTGTCTGGATCACTGATTGACTAGGTGAATGCCAGCGGCTCCTTCAGATCCCAAGGGGTAGACCAAATGGCATTTCCACCTATACTTTGAGATTCCTCAGAAGTGTATCAATACTGCACGTACTAAGTGGAAAATTCATGTGGGGTGTCACGCTTTGGGTTAATGGGTTTCAACTCATGTCTCAGAGGGGCAGAGTCCTAGTGCCTAAGCAGCCCTGGTACAAGTACCTGAATGAGCTTCATGCCAAGGGGCACGGCATCCAGGAAAGCCTTCCCTCTTACTCCACCCCTTTCATTCACCGGCAACCACAGGGCCTCCTAGTTTCTGCTCCTGCCAAGTCGTACAGAAATAAAATCTTAGAATAAAATTCTTCAATTACTGTTTATTAATATCAAGGAGTGGCACAATGCTTCCCTTTTCATGGCAGGTCAAAGATGAAATTGGATTATGCTTTGGAGGGTGCGGTTTGTCTCTTGACATTTTTCTCCCAGTATTTACAAATGTTGTTCCTGAGAGCAAGCAGTGTCCCTGCTAACCAAAGGAGGCGCCCTTGTCAGCATATATAGAGACAGTGGGGCCCCGAGAAAAGCCAAACCAGTTCTGCACCATGGGGAAGAAGCAACTGAAGAAGGAGGCAGCTCCAAACTGCGAGCTAAGTAAGTAGCCAGCAAGTAAGTCTACTAGCCAGGGAAGCTGCCAGCTCAGCTGACCTGGAAGGACGTCAAAAACAGCCTCAGACCTTTCATTTTAGATACAGCTGAGGTTCCCAAAGGAAAGATCCCAGTCTAGAAGGACTTTGTCAAACCTTTCTCAGACTCCACAGAGTCTCTGTAGAGACATTCTTAGAACTAATTTGTGCATTTTCTGTTTTCTCTAGGAGAAGGAGCAGATCAGATGATTTTTTTTGTATTATCTTTTAGGAGTAGTTGTACAAAGGGGTTTCAGTTCAACATATAAGTACAGTGAATACAATGAAGATGAGGTTTGTTTTTTTTTTTTCCACTGTAGAATTTGCTTTTACTTTATTTGGATTCCCCCTCCCCCCCTTTTTACAGTTCTCTGTCCTATCCTATTATCTTGGATTCCTACTAATGAAATTTTCTTGTAGCAGTTTCTATGTGAAGAAAGAAGCAGGGTTATCTCTTATGCTGTAACAGTAAGAATATTTTTGGTGTATCTAGTGGACATCGTACAAAGCAATCTGTCAGGCCATTTACTCTCCAGGCATCTTCAGAGAAACAGTCAGGGTGAGGTTGGGACTCGGGTGGGAGTAGTGACTGCTTTGCTGTAAGCAAGGATTAAGTGTGGGCAGAAGGTCAGCAGAGCTGAGTGGGATGGAGGGAAATAATTAAATGGGAGGCTTCCAAGTAGGACACCTGAGAGCAGTGGAACTTGCTACACCAGCAAATGCTCTGTTGTTCCTCCCAGACATGGGGTGTATTGTCCTGACAAGGCAGCACAATATAATGCTATAAAAGTGAAAGAAAGAGGTAATGGCAGGTACATACGTTTTAATTAATTAATTGCTGGTCCTGGGGCTTGAACTCAGGGCCTGGGTGCTGTTCCTAATCATTTGTGATTGAGGCTAGAGGTCTATTGTTTTAACCACAGCTTCACTTTCCGGCTTTTTGGTGGTTACTTGGAAATAAGAGTTGGTTAATTGGAGATAAGAGTCTCTTGGACTTTCCTGTTTCGGCTGGCTTCGAACTGCCATCCTCAGAGCTCAGCCTCCTGAGTAGCTAGGATTACAGGCGTGACCTACCGGCAGCCGGCCCTATGATTCTTTATAGGATGTAGTTGTTCATCGTGGTGAGTCAGGCCTCCAGAAGAGGCTAGGTTATCAGAGCCTAAGGCAGGCGGCGGAACTGTCACGGGAATCTGGTCGCTACGCTGCTGGCGTGATAAACTCCTAGCTTTGTAGGTCTGCGCAGCGCCGGAAGAGGCTCTGAGAGACGCACCTCCCGCGACGGCCCCGCCTCCGGTCGGAGCTCGGGGTGGGCGGAGCCTCCGTACCGACTCTGCTGGCCACGCACACCGACAGCTGCAGGGGTCTAGCCAATAGGAATGCGGGGCTGCCGTCTTGCTGGCCAATCGCGGTGGGTGGGGGGTTGGCCAGTTCGGCGCTGGCCCCGGGATGTGGAGCGGCGGGCGTCCTGACAGCGTGTCAGGTGGCTACGGACCCCGTGAGGTGAGGGTCGACGGGGTCTAAGGCCGTTGAGCTTTTCCACAGCGGGTGGATGGGCGTAGGGACTGGCTGGCTAGGACCGGCGAGGAGCTGGCGAAGGGCGCCGGCGCCTTGTGGGGCTTTGAGGAGAGGTGAGGGCAGGGAGAGCTGAGTCGTCTCGCCCGGTGTCGGGAGGAAGATGGAGCCTCTTTATTCCCAGGAAGACTAAGGGACAGAGGGCCGGGGGTGGGGAGCGACCTCCGGAGGTCGCGGAGGGCTTCGCGCTTTCCCCGCCGCGGCCTAGGACTAGACCCAATCCCTCGCCCGGCTGGACCCCGTGCGGAGGGTGCGCGACCCGCCGCGGCCGCGGGACACCCTGGCGCTGGGGCCCAGGGCCAGGTCTCCCGCCGCCGCCTGATCGGCGCAGCCCTGGCCCGGTCGGTCTCTGCGGCCTCCCGCCCGAGTCCAGCGGGCATCCGAGCCGAGCGGGCCCGCTCACCTGCGTGCAGGTGGCCCGGGGCCCTGTGTGCAACGCCAGAGCCTCGTCTTCAGGCTTCATTCAGAGCCGGGTGTTTCTGTGAGACACCGCACACAGATGCAAGCGTGTGATGTCGCTCCGACTCCCCGAGTTTCTTCGGTTCCCACTAAATCTAATCCTTTGGTCAGAACTTGAGCCCTTGCTTTGAGTTTCCCCCTCTGTGTAGATTGGGAATGTTCTATTGCCCGTTGCTTTGTAAAGCAGTGAGCTAAAGAGAGCGACCTCTCTATATGGAAAACAAACAACATATGGATGACAAGGTAGCAGGGAAAGGTGGACTTACAGGAATGTTGCTGGCCGTAGTTTCAGTGATCTGGTGAACCACGGGAAGCTGCTTGCCTTGATTTCGGCGGTATCTGAAGGTCCATCACTTCTTGCCTGTGTTAACCTTCATGCGATTTTCTTAGGCTCTGTTCTTTTGTTCCTCATACTTAAAATGGGGATCAATGATCTCAAGTTAGAGGGTTATTGGTGAGAAATTGGTCATATAAAGTACTTGGAACAGTTTCCTCCACATAGGAGTTTTTGTTGTTGTGTCTACACTTTGCCTTCTTTCTCCCTGAAGAGTCTACCTCATCTGTCCTTTGCTCAGAATCCCTTGGCCTCCTGCTAGTGAACCCTCAGGCCAGTTCTTTCTGCTTAATTAACTTTGGTGTGAGGGTTCAGTGTAATTACCTATGAAGAGAGGCTTTCTTCTGAGTATTTTATTAAGTTTGGAAATCATTGACATTCTAGGTCACTTTTTGTGTTAACTGTGTTGGTAAATGAAACCTGAGAACATCATTGGCTGTTTTTTCCACTGGGTAATATTTCATTTGCAATGTTGCTTGATTTGGGGAGTTTATACCAGACATAATACCAAAAAGGCCAGGATTACAGCATACTTGCTTTCTCATCTTTTTCCGGTATGACTGTGGGACTCAGAAGGGGAATTTTTGAGCAGCCTGGCAGCACTTCTTGTTAAGGAATAGGGAAGCTTGATGTGAATTGAACCTCAGTCTACTGTTTCTGTTAGGAAGCAGCCTTGGTCCTTTGGTTACTCTACAGAGACAGTTAGCAGCTTTGATTCAGTTTTTGTTCTTTTTCTTCCCTGGTCCTAGGGCTTGAAATCAGGGCCTGGGCATTGTCCCTGAGCTTCTTTTTGCTTAAGGCTAGCCTTCTGCCACTTGAACCACAGCTCCAGTTTTGGCTTTTTTGGTAATTTATTAGAGATAAGAGTCTCACAGACTTTCCTGCCTGGCTGGCTTCAAACCTTAAATGTCAGCCTCCTGTGTAGCTAGGATTACAGGCTTGAGCGACTAGCACATGGCTTAGCAGCATAATTTTTTTTTTTTGGGTCCGGTCGTGGGGCCTGAACTCTGGGCCTGGGCGCTGTCCCTCAGCTCTTCAGCTCAAGGCTAGCGCTCTACCACTTGAGCCACAGCGCTACTTCCGGCTTTTTTCTTTTTGCTTATGTGGTGCTGAGGAATCGAACCCAGAGCCTTGAGCATGCAAGGCAAGCGCTCTACCACTGAGCCACCTTCCCAGCCCCCCAAGCAGCATAATTTTTAATTGAGATGAAATACACATATAATAATTGTCTTATCTACTGAGTAACAATTTAGTGATGTTCATATACTCACAAAATTCATTGATGTTTGACTCATTTGATTCTGTGTTGAGGCAGTGAAGTGAAAAATGGTATAGACAAGGTAGTGTCTTTTCTGATTGACAGCACTGAGAGCTTGGATGGGTGCTCCTAATTATACATCTTTATTACCTGCCTCATTGCATAGTATATATGCAAATGTCTAGACAGATATATGCCCTTTGTAGGGGCTTAAAAATCTCTATTAATCTTTCTTGGTGCTGTCTGGGAGACTCCATGGGAGAATGTTTTGTGTCGATTCTTTCCTTCCAAAAACTTGTTTATTAATAATTGCAAGGGGCACTGTTAGGAACTAATCACAATGAGTTTATTGTAAAAAAGAAAGAGTGGTGCTTATTACAGCAGCATGGTGACCAGTACTGAGTTTAGTTGTTCAGCTTTGCACAAAGACAGTTTATTACTTTTTGGGTTGAAAATTTCTTTAAAATTTGTAGGTAATGAATGTAAAAGGCACAAGTTAATTGTTAAAATTTTATCAGGTTATAAGAAGGCATATACGAGGCTACAGAATCTGGTACTATGTGTTATCTGACTCTTCACATACAATTTTTATTTGCTTTATGAGAAGAAACATTAAGGAAAATTGTTAGGGTCAGTTTGCATTTGATAGCAATATGTCAGAATAAATTGGTTGAACGTTATCTAATGGTTATCATTCTTCATATTTGCCAGAGAAAGGTTATTCACTTGTTTATTCATTTGTTTATTCTGAGTGACACTAGAGTTTGAACTCAGGGTTTTGTGCTTGCTGGGTAAGCACTCTACCACTTGAGTTCCATCCCCAGCCCTTTTTGCTTTCCTTACTTTTCCAATACAGGAAAACAACAGCTTGCAGTTGGCCCAAGCTGCCTAGACCATGATTCCCTTGTTTATGCTTACTTGTAACTGGCATGATGTGTGCTTTATGCCCAGATTTTTTTTTTATTGGTTGAAATGGAGTCTTTTAATAAAGAAAAAAGAAAGGGGGTTCTGGAAATGTGGCTTAGTGGTAGAGTGTTTGACTAGTATGTGTGAAACCTTGGGTTCAATTCCTCAGTACCACATACATAGAAAAAGGCAGAAGTGGCACTGTGGCTCAAGTGGTAGAGTGGTAGCCTTGAGCAAAAGAAGCTCAGGGACAGTGCCTAGGCCCTGAGTTCAAGCCCTTGGACTGGCAAAAAAAGAAAGAAAGAAAGAATGAAATGAAGTCTTACAAACTTTTTGCCCAGGTTGCCCTGCTCTCTGCCTCCTAAGTAGCTAGGGTTACAGTTCTGAGCCATCATGCTTGGCCTTAATTAGGGAACCTAAGCAAGTATGAGAGCAAAACTTTTACCCCCAAGCAAGAAGTAGGTGTAGACTGTTTTGAAAAGGGACTTTCATCCAGTAGAGAAGGTCTTTGAAATTGTTCACAGACAATTGTGATTCAGGACAGTATGATCTTCTGACGGTGTCAGAGGGCCAGGCTGATCCAGGAAAGGGAAACATTGCTGTAGAGTTCTGGGAAGGAGGAAGTTCACAGGAAGTACACCCCGTGAGGATTAGGAGGAACAAAGACCTAAGTAGAGGCAGTAGAAATGAGACTTCAGTGGTGCTAACACTGAGCAGTCAGGGAGGTTTATAAGCTGATTGAACATCAGGGACATGGAGCAGAGAAAATGAACAGTTCTCTTTAGTGAGAACCAGGCCCTTCAGTTCTGAAGTCTGGTTGATAAATGATACTTTTATCTAAATGATCAGTACCTCTCCACAGCCTGGGCATATTTCCCTACTCTTATCATCTTTGACACCCAGGCAGAGCTAGTTTCATTATCAATACTCTTCCTCCCCATATTTTACTCTCCTTTTTTCCCCCCATTTTTTGAGATAGGGTTTGGTGCCCAAGGCTGCTTCAGCCTGCCAAGTATTCAGTTTGTAAGTATGTGCTCAGTTTTGTCTTGTTCTTCCTTGTTGACATTTCCTTTATTTTTAGATGGTCTTCTTGTTAGGTTCAACTGAAAAGTCAAGCTCAGGTGAAAAATAGCAAAGTTGGTGTTGAGTTGAAATTGTGATTTTTCCAGTAGGACAAATAAAATGTCTCCATATTGCTGCATCATATAAAGTTAATTGAAAGAACAGTTTAAGCACTATCTCAGAGGTCGTTATGACAGACTCATGGCTCCAATTCATTTAAAGCACATTGTATAATAGCAGCACTGTTTGTTCTTTACGAACAGGGTATATGGTGTGGTTTTTAGTTGCAGACATTCTGTATTACCCACTTGGTTTCTTTCTTTTGTTCTCTCTTTTCCTTCTTTGGCAGTTCTTGATTTTGAACTCTTGGTGTCACACTTGCCAGGCAGGTGCTCTACTGCTAAGTCATACCTCTAGCTCTTTGTTATGCTGGTTATTTTTTAGAGTCTTTTTTCCTGTCTGGAAGCATCCCTGGACTGCCTGCTTTAGGCTTCATGTTATAGTGGTATGATAGACACGCACCACCATATCCAGTTAATTACTTTTTGTTGAGGTGGATTCTTGAGGATTTTTCTGCCCAGGGTTTGCCTCAAATCTCCATCCTCCCAATCTTAGCCTTCCAAATAGCCAGGATTATAGATGTGAACCATTGATGTTCAGCTTCTTTGTTTCTTTTGTAATGAAACAGATATAATCACTTTCTCCAAGGGGCAGAGGCAGGAAGTGGAGAAAGGAGAGACTAATAACCTCTCATTAATATTTGTAGGATTTGGGAAAACAGCTCGCTTTGTTTGAAGCCCTTAGGTATTTAATAAAAAGCTTTATTGATTACCCATCATCCAAACAGCAGGAGCTCACTTTTGTGCAATATAATTATTGGTTAATAGTGACGGTTTAGTAGCACTATAA